TCTAGATATGGTGACACCACATGTGTGTCAAAAAGCTGTTGATAAAGCTCCTTATATGTCATGAAAATATGATTGAAATACTCTTTTCCTCTTTATCTCATTGGTTCTTGTGAATCTTGTCTAGAAGTACCTGACGGTACAACTATAGTTGGTTTTAATTTAGAGATCGTAATGTTTTTACTGGAGTTGAAAGCGTTGATGTTGTTGATCTCTCATTCTCTCTTCTTCATGGGAGGTCTTCTACTTGACCCACATCTTTCTGTCTTTCCCTGCTTAATGGTCATTTCCACTATCTCTCCGACCATCACCAAATCAAAAAAAAATCCCGGATGTAATTACAACCTAATGCCCCAAGAAAGGAGCCTTTAGTGTATGTATGAAGAGATTCCTTATTTTTTTTCCATCCAAAGGTGGATGAACCTGCATAACTAACTCCTTCCATCATTGTGCATATTATCTGAAATTTTCTTTATACTTTTTCTCCATATTTTGTAGCATAGCACGATCTGGTCTCATGTCATTCACGTGTTTGTATTGTTCCAAGAATGATTTGGCAAGATCTTTCCATGTCCTGATGAGTTAACGGTTTAGCTGATTCTATTACCAGATGACTGAACCCACCAGACTCTCATGGAAGCAGTGAATCAGGAGCTGGTCATTCCTGACATATCATGTCATCTTTTGAAACTATTTCCATCAAAATTATTGAAATATGGGACTTTAAACTTAGGAGGAATAATCAAATCTGGGACTAAACTTTGTTCTAGAGCATCAACTCCGTAATTGTTGTCATTTTCTTTAACTGTCTTCATTTTATCTTTTTTTTCCATATTGTTTGCTTTGTCCTTGTCATCAAGGTATGGAATAGATAATTACATGGAATATTTTGAGGGTTGTTTATAGAAGATTGTGCTTTTGCAGTATATAAGACCATTTGAAGTCCTGGTAAGATTCCAGGTTTCAGATGCCCCTGCCCCAGGAGCATTCATTTGATTCAGGCCAGACAACCTGGCAATAATCTGGTCAACCAATGAATCTTGGTCCCTAGTGATGGAATCCAAGGTATTTTGTTGATCCTGACTTATTTTCTACACAACATCTGTACGTAATATCTTCTTCTATGACTCGACTTTATCTTTAACCTTATTCTTGTAATTACCTTCATGATATGCGAACTCGGATCCAAGTATTTCATGTGTGACTGGAACAAACTGATGTGCCTCATACTGCCGAAGTGCTGACAGTAGAGAATAACCAACTCCTCCCCACATCCCAAGTAACATTACTATGCCTGAATCCCCACACCGATATAGAATGTCACTATGAGTCAACCAAGGGGCTCTCCATACGATGTCCTTGTCCTAGAGGTGCATAAATACCTTCACCCATATTTCTTTTGGAACACCTTCTCGCCATTTTTGTGTAAGGAATCCCTCTAAGGGTGAATACGTCGTACTGAATTGGTGATAAGAAATGTCATTCGTTTTCCAAAAAAGGACTATGGATCTAAACCTGAAGTAATTGTGTGTATCCAATAAAATGTCCTTGACCAGTTCTTCTACAATGGTTTAGTGAACGGAAAGTTTCAGCTGGAATTGTTGGAGCAGGATTCACTCGCTTTGGCAGTTGTTCGAACTATTCCACCATAGTTGCCTCGATGTATCCCAGTTTTTTGGGAAAATAACCAAGCTGTAGATATCCAGCGCAAAAAGATCGATCACCTTCCATTCATCATGATGATTCTTCATTAATTGCTTGATGTGAGTCTAAGCAATTCCTTCATCTTTGCCTTTGTGTTGAATCCGGTCAGTGACCAATTTCTCATCAATCTCTGCAACCTTTGCCAGCCCATTTTTGAAATGCTGACTCTCGATATATTTGATGAAGATCCGATCAATTCCGATTCCTTCACAGTGTAACAGAGTGGTGTAATCCTCAATTGTGGACATAATGTCTTCGTGGTTGAAGGTAAAATAGCTATATCCCATATTCCAAAACTGCACAAGGGCTCGAATTAAAGGTTTGCCTACCTTAATGTAGAGCAGGTGTGTGATATCACCGTACCGCTAGAAAAACTTCTTTTTTCTGTCAGCTTTCTAGCTATCCCAAATATTCTGCAACTCTTAGGTATCATTCTATTCGAGGCTTATGGAAGCGTAGCCAACTAGATATGACATATGGTTGTCTTGCAGACTGTCCTCTTTTTCCTTATGAGTCCTTTCTGACCGTAACTGTTCTTCTGCATTCTTGAACTCTTGTATTATAACACCTTTGTCCATTAATGCCAACTATTTGGGTTTAAACAAACACTTTTGTCTGTCAACACCTCTTTAGATGATGCAAATGACAAAATATGGAAATGAAACAAAAATTAAAGGAAATAAGTTAGTAAAATAAAAATGAAAATAAAATAAAATAAAAATTCCTACCCTACATGTTATTTACCCCACTTGTTTTTATTCCTACCCGGACATGATCTCTATCCCGCATGTTATTTTCTTGAACAAATCCTAACCCCATATATTTCTAATTCACGTGCTTTGAACAAAAAATAAAGCAATAAATAAATCAATACATCCTAGGCTTTGAAATGGAGTTTTGGGGTGGGCTTTAATTCCTTGCAAGATCACAATTTGGTTCTAAAAGAAGGTACCTGAGTTCTCCTTGCTGGTGCCCCCTTGGGCCTGCCAGACCCTCAGTCCTAAGCTCATTACAAGCTCATGTGGACCAAGTTAAACTCGAGAGGATACATTCCCTTATGTCTGTACGGAGAATAAATTCACACAAAGACATACGGTATATAAATCCCGAAGGTCACTTGCTAGTCCTATACGGAGAATAAATTCCAATGAAGGCGTCGCTTTCACCTCCACTTAAAAAGGTTTGGAGCTCGGGAATAGAGCCTGAGATTGAATTTTGAAAAGCTGAAATCATTGAAAAACATCAATACAATAATTTATTCGAAAAATAATAATTTATACTTACAATTTTTGCTTAAGAATAAAACCAGAAATCAATTTTGGCCTGACTTACTTACCTGTCCCCAGCGAAGTCACCAAGCTGTCGTAACCATCCTTCGGGTGGGCTTGGAATATGGTTTCGACTTACTTTTGATGTGTTAGAGCCGCTATCAGTTATTTAAAATAAGGTTGACCAAACACATTAACTTACCATCTGTATGATCTTTATTTTACCATAAATTAATTGAATTCAGGAGTCGATTACAGTCAAGGATGGATTAGCACCCTTGTATTGCCCTTTCGATACTAATTTGATTTCTTGATTGTCTTAATTACGAAAATTAAAAGTTAAAATTAAATTTAAAAGTTTGATCCAAATTACTTACCTTTGACAAATTTTAGGATTGACCTAAAAATAAATCAAATTAATGTTAAACTGTAAAATGAAATAAAATGAATAAATAAAGATCAAATAGATAAAAGAAGAAAAATAAAAAAAAATAAAAAAGGACTAAATTGAAAAGAATTTAAAAAATCAGGGGTCAATTTGATGTTAATTAAAAGTTGCAAGGAAATAACCAAAAATTAGGGGTCAAATTGTAAAAATATAAAACATATAATAGGGATTAAATTGAAACAATTCAAAATTCAAGGGAAAATTTACAACAGGTGACCAAAATGAAGTACACATCAAACTTGCAGGGATTGCGAAAATAATTAAACTATTTTATAATTACAAGGTGGCCCCTTATAAATACCCCTAAAAAGTTAAAAAAATTCATTTTATACCAACTTACCAAAAAAAAATACTCTCCCAAAACACTCTCAACCTTCCCCAACTGGCCTAGCATCGGTCATTCACCGGTGGCCCTCTCCGTCGCCCGGCTGCCACTCCTGCCATCGCCTCTGGTGGCCAAAAACCTAAAAACTACCCAAAATGCTCTACTCGTTACCCCGAACCCAAAAAACAATTAAACAAAATGAAAGTAAAAAATAAAAATAAAAATAGTTAGGAAAAAGGAAATTAAAATAATAATAATAATATGTAATAATAAGTATATATTAAAAAATATATAATATATATTATATTTCAAAAACAATATAATATGTTTTCAAAGATTATATATATTATATACGCTTTCAAAAACCGTTTAAAAAAAGCTATATATATATATATTCAAAATAATATGTTTTCAAAAACTATATCATATATGTTTTCAAAAAAACCATTTTAAAAACTATATATTATATGTTTTAAAAAAATGTTTGCAAAAACTATATTATATATCTTAAAAAACTATATATATTATATATTTTTGAAATTATATATATTATCATATATATTCTATAATGTAATAAAGACTCTTGAAGTCCAAAACAAAAATGGGTGTCTACACACTATATGATTGAAAGAAAAAAATTTATACAATAATTATATTTATAAAATAAATAATTAACTAATTGTCATAAGTAGAGTGATAAAATATTAGTATTTAAATTCATTAGTAATTAGTTGTTTTGTTTTACGATAGAATATAATTATTTAATTGTTGCTCAGATTCAATATATTCACTTAGTTTGAAAGTATCACAAAAAAGTTAAATTAATAAAATTTCTAAATATGGAAGATTAAATCTATTAAGTTATTTCGAATAAAACTAAATTGATAGGATGTATAGATTGATTTATTTGTAATAATATTTTAATTGAGTGACTATATTATACGTTTTGGAAACAAAAGTGGCACATTTGTAACTAAACTAATAATTGAATGAGCGGGGCTATATTTTACACTTAAATTGATCACATTGCAAGAACCGAACTGTTATTTACATATAAAACGGGAAATTCAAATTCCCAAATTCATTTGACTCTCTCACTCGGCCTCTTAGGTTCTCTCCTCCTCTTTTCTATTTTCGAAATTTTTATTTTTTTATTTTTTTTTGTAAATGATTTTTTGTTTAAATGGAGATAAGTAAGAGAAGTGGTTTAGATTTTTTATATTTATATTGAGATTTTTGTATATGGTTTCGAGGATCGATGGCTACTGCATCTGCAAGAGCTCGGGCTGATTATGATTACCTTATTAAGCTTCTTTTGATTGGTGATAGTGGTACGTTTATACCTTTTTTTTGGGATAATGTAATTATTTTATTTCTTGATATTGAAAATTGAAATTGAAACCTGGGTGTTAACTTTTTTTGATATTCTGTTACTTTTTTTTAATGTGTATTTGGGATTTTATTTTGAAAGTGACTAAATGTCATGCTATGTTTGGTTTAGGATTGAGATGGCTTTGATTTTGCATCTGCCTCGTGGTTTATTTTTTTTAGCATCGTCTTTGGTTTCAAGAAATGGATTTCGTTCAAGATTTGAATTTGGTCATATTAAATGCTATGGATTGTTGAGACATGTTGGTGAATTTAGATTGGGATCATAATGGAGGAAGCTTTGTTTGATTATAAGTTTGTGACATTGGAAGTGTCCATATAGTGCATTACCATTGTGTCTCACACATTCAGACTGTAAGTGTCAAGTGTGTGTATGAAATGGGTATTTTCAATCTTTTAAGTTTTTTTCAAAAGTAGTTGGAGGTCTTTGAAGTCTCATATTCTGGTAAATCATATCTAAATACTTATCATTGTGTGTATGGCTCAGTTGTTAGCATTTGATAAGAAACACCTTTCTGTAAGATGATAGATGAAAAATAAGTCGCATGAATTATATATATATATATATATATATATTTATTTATTTCTTTAACTTTTTCATTAGTTATGGCTGTTATGAATAAAGAGGGACAATATCAAACTCTATATGAGTTTTGACATTACGTTTCTATCAATGTATTTAAAGCTACCTTTCTATATGAATTCATGTTCACGGTAAAACTTCAAATGTTTAAGTATGAATTTTAGAGTTTCCTCTGGCATTATTGTTAGTGAGAATAATAGTTGTTTTTCTTGGTTCTACAATTCTTCGTTTCTTCTGTCAAGTACTCATTTTTGGATGACATATGCATATGAGGATATTATCTACCAAGTATTCTTTAAATACTTAAATTTTTTGAGAAAGATTAAAATACCTGCATTGAGTACATTCTCGTGTCTCACACTTACACATGAGTTCTGGTAACATAAGGTAAAACTAATGTGGCCTCGGGTGAATCCGTGTAAAATGTTTGTATCTATTAAGCATGTTGTTTGGACCCTTCATTTTTCATAAAATATTCACGTCCGGAACTCATGTCTGAGCATAAATATTGGATATGACCTTCAAGTATCCTCCAAATACATAAAAAAATCCTAGAAATATCTAATCATACTCATGTTGGATACCTATCCTTATTCATATCACACTTGAGTCCAAATAACATAGTCTATTAAAACATCTTAAGCTGACAACATGCCAGGATTTAGGTACTCAAGCTTGTATTTTTCTGGACTTTCATTTATTTGAATTAATGCATGTGTGGGGAAGAGTTGTATGCTTTTACGCTTCTCTGATGGTTCCTTTGCTACTAGTTTCATAACTACTATTGGGTTTGTATCCCTGAAAACTCTTGAAAATTATATGGTAAAATCATTTTGATCCTTTTTGCATTTTAGAAGCTTGAATGCGGAGAGGACCACTTACAATTTAGCATTACCAACATGGTGTAATCATATTGTTTTGATTTTTTATTTTTCTTGAAGTGCTCATGTTTGATATTGAATTCTTATGCATATCTAGAAATGAGTGTAGGGATATGAACCTTTAAGGAACATCTAAATGCATGAAAATTTTTTAAAAAAAGTTTAAGTATATCAATGTCAAATCCCCAATTTCACACCTGAATCTGAATAACATAGGAGGCTAATTGAGGATGACTTGGATTATTTGGTTGCGCACATGCACTTCCTAATTGGAACCCACAACATTTAGGAAGGAATGGAGTTTGCTGCATCATAATCTGTGTTAAGATAAGCCGGTATTCAATCTGTTTGGCTTTTATCAAATCCAGATCAGTTTCAATTTGGCCATCACTTAAATGAATTTGTTTCGTTTGATTTTCTGAACCGATTTGAACCGAACCATTATCACCTATTGTTTTGAGTCTCCACAACATTATCTCGTATTGACCATTCTATTTTTCTTGACAGCATCGATTTTAAAATCAGAACCATCGAGCTTGATGGTAAGAGGATCAAATTACAAATCTGGGATACAGCTGGTCAAGAACGGTTTCGAACTATTACAACAGGTGTGTTTAAGCTTGCCCCGTTCGATTCGTTTTTATTCAAACAATAAATTTCGTTTGGTACTTGACTGTGTTTGTGGATCATCTTCCAGCAGCTTACTATCGTGGAGCCATGGGGATTTTGCTGGTATATGATGTTACTGAGGAGTCATCTTTCCGAGTATATCTCGACTTTATTAATTTTTTTTCAGCATGCTGTGAAAATTTCAATTAGGTGGTAACAGTTTGTGTCGGACTTAAAAAATGTGATTAATAGTCCTTTCAGTTTTAACCGATTATCAAATTGATACAAATCAAAGTCTTCTAATTCAGATCAGGTCGGTATATCAGCTTTTAAACTATTTCTAAAAAAAACTTTTTATTATTAGTATTTTTATGTTATTTTCATTCATTTAGATATAAAATATTCATTTTCATATTATAGAAGTTTTCAGTAGAAAAGAGAATTCGGTTCAGTTTGAATCATTGTAATTTTTTAAACTTATGTATAAGAGATGGAACAGAATAAACTTCAACAATATTCAAATGAAACAAAACAAAATCTGGTACGATTCGATTTTTGTTTTCTTCTTTTATAAATTTTTCAGCCCTATCCATTTTTCTATGCTTGTCTCTTTGGGTTTGGCAATGAAATTGGTTTATAGTCAACCCTATAGATTAAAAATTGGACCGGACTGATTGAACCAAGAACCAGTGGCTTATCCACCAGTTCAACAATAAAAGACCGGATTGAATTACCAGTTGGAAGACTGATCGGTATAATCGCCTGTCCGGTTTTCTTCAACTTTGGTTTATCTTCTTCATCCCTGCTTTTGATGGGGTGGATGACTTGCATTCTCTTTTTCTTTCGAAATGGAGTTTCTTTAATGGCCATATGTACCTTGTTAGTGTAATCAATCCAGCTTCTTTACATTTACAGACATTCGAAACTGGATCCAAAATATCGAACAACATGCTTCAGATAATGTCAACAAGGTATTGGTTGGCAACAAAGCTGACATGGACGAGAGCAAAAGGGTAAGATTTTCTGTATTCAGTTTCTATGGAAATCGCTTATATTGTTCATGTTGGTTAGATCATAGGTTTTGGAAGTGCGGATTCTAGGAACTTCTTCTCTTTTGCTTGACTCGTATTACTGACTTTCCTTTGTGTTGTTATGTGTAATAAAAACATCAATAATTCTAATGCCTTGAAAGGCTAGGCCTCATTGTTCATCACGTATGACACAATTTGCACATATATATCTGGTAATAATTCAAATTGTTCTCCTTTTCCAGGCTGTGCCGACTTCAAAGGGACAACCTCTTGCTGATGAGTATGGTATTAAGTTCTTTGAAACTGTAAGTTGCATGTTTGCTTCTGTTAACTCTACCTACTCAAACTCTTCATTTTTCTAAAAAAGGTCTGTTTCCAGCACTTGTGCTCAACACATATTTCGACATTTGCATCAAATAATGTCCTCCAAATATATAAGAAATCTCAAAAAATTTTAGCATATCAGCGTTGAACACAACCGTAATCAACATTCATCTCCAAGTTCCAATAATATAATCTGTATCTTGCACAGTGTAAAGACAAATTTGAATGTGGAGAGGTTTTCTTTTCGATAGTCTGTGACATTAAGCAAAGACTGGCAGATTCAGATAACAAGGCTGAGGTATTTTCTCATTTATGAGAACATTTTTCTTGGGTAAAGTGTACAAATGGTCCCCTAACTATAAGGTGTTATTTTGTGGAGTCTTTTGACTATTAAAAGTTACGAAACTATCCTCTGATTATATGACATTGCTTTGTTGAGTCTACCGATTATTAAAAGTTACAAAATGGTCACCCGACTATTCATATATTCTAAACTTATCCTTTTTTGTTAAAAAATGACAGCAGTTTGAATTGGATTTTAATCTGTTGACTGAGATTATGATAATCATTTTAGATATTGGGATTAGAATTTATCATATTGCAGCGTTCAACTCGGATTACTGTCAAATTTTTTAATAGAAAAGTACGAGTTTAGAACATATGAATAGTCGGGTGATCATTTTGTAACTTTTAATAGTCGAGGGACTCAACAAAGTAATGTCTTATAGTTGGGGACTCAACAAAGCAACCCCTATAGTTAGAGACCATTTATGTACTTTACTTTTTTTTCTTCTTTATTCACCATGAGTCACTTTGTTTGTGTATCATTTCAATTTTGTTTGTTTGTTGAAGTACTTGTGTCCAACACGTTCACGGACATGTGTATGGATATATGATCGGAGACCATCCAAATACACATACATCTTGTGTGGAATATATTCACGGACATGTTTCGCCTTTGTTCTTTGTCTCAGCCGACGACACTTAAAATTAACCAGCAGGACGCTGCAGCAAGTGGTGGTCAAGCTGCTCAAAAGTCTGGTTGCTGTGGATCTTAGAGTCTAAGCTTTATTGAAGGCATGTTTTTTCCCACTTATTTTCTAGATTTTACATACTGATTAAATTTTGAAATCCGACAGCACAAATTTTTTATTGTAGTGTCAGAAGATTGCAAATTAAATTGTATTTATTCTTCTTTCAAAGTTGAACTCAACCATAATCACTTAAAACTATTGCCTTTTAAGAAAAAATAAAAGATGGGAGTACTGTTAATTATTCTTGCTTCTGTTGCTGTAAGCAGTGAGTTTTTCATTATTTTGGGCACCCAGAGGCGGTAATTTTAGGGTTTAATGTTAATTTGGGCAGTGAGGTTTTTTCTTCAAAATAACCACACCGCCGATACTAAGTTAAGAAATTTTCTTTTATAAATCCTTTCGCTTTCTTTGTGCATTAGGTTTTAATAAGCTTTTTTTCCCCATTCATTTGAAACGAAAGATAATTCTTTTTTTTGGATTTTTAGATATAAAGGGTTAGTTGACATCCATATCATATCCATTGTATTTATTATATAGGCTTTAAAGAAAATGAAATATCATCCGAACAATATAAATTTACAGTATTTGTACTTCTGTTAAAAGTATATATAGGTAAAGTTGGGTCAATAATCTAAGTAGATTAATTATTTGGCCTAATAGGTCAACCTTAACATAATTTTGTATTCTACGATATTTGTTATAGTATAGGGGTGATGAGTTTGTCCGGATATTATTAATTAATGGACTCAGGTTCGTAGGCTCATGGGGTTGAATTGTTTTATTAATTTCCCTGGAACTTGTTATGTCTATGTAACGAGTTCTATTAAAATCATATTAAAATTTTAAATTAATTAAAATAATATATGTTTATTTATATAATAAAAAAAGAATTTGTCATGTGAGGGTGATAAGTTCCGTTTGAATTTGAACAGCGTAGCCATTATTGAACGTTGGGTAACGAGTAGATTCCAACGATTATAAACAGTTAGTCCATTAGAACTCGTTACCCCGATGTGATGAGCTACAGTGAACTAGTCTTTTATGACAATTGGATTTGTTGTATAAATAGGGGTTTTGGGGTTTAAGGTTTGTATTGTTATTTGTTGATAAGAAATTTTGATTGAGACAAATTTTATTGGTTTTTTTTGAAGAACTCGTGGTAGAATGTCTTATTGAGAAGAAAGGCTACGTCTTGAATGTTGTCCAGATTTCCTCGCTTGAGCTCCGATAAATTTATTTTCTTCCTGTTTAAAAAAATTCAAATTATTATATTAATGTTGTTTTTAAAAAAAATTATTTATTGTTTAAAATTTAAACTATTATTTATGTACAAAAATTCATAGTGTATCTTAAATTTCTTTGTGGTCTTAGTGATGTGATCCCAATTAGCCCTAACTTTCGTCTTGATCTGATTAAATCATTGAAGTTTACCAAGGCTGATTCAAAGGGAGTTCTACCTTACTTCATCCTATACCTGCTCATTTATGCACTATATTTTATCATATGTTTGTATTTACCACTTAGGATATGCTTATCATATGATATCATTCATTACATGAATTTGCATGAGTTTATTAGTTGCATGACATTCATTGCATTTAATAAGTGTGATGTTCATTTAAGCATGCATTGCATTTAAAGCATCTAGTTAATTTAAGGAAGTAGTTCATTTATGCATATTTAGATCATTTAGTAAGCTATTTCATTCATGCATCTAGTTCATTGAATAAAGTTAGTTCATTAATTAAACTAGTTCAATCATCAAACAAGTTCATTTATTAAATTAACTCTTAATTGTTTCATGCATGTTTTCAATTAAAGATTGAATAAAGTTCACTTTTGTGTCTAGGTGCATGAGAGAAGTTGAACGGGTTCAATAGATGCAGGAATATAAGTCAGAATGTCTTTTAATTTTGGATGTGATACAGACTTTTTTGGGTCTAGAAATCAATTGGACATTATTCCTCTATCTCTTAGATTTCCAACGCCTTTTAAATCACCTCAATACGATATCGAGAGCTTGAGATATGATCGATTTATTGAAGACAGTGTAGCTTGGAATTTTCATTACTGGAATTTTATACAAGGATGATTTGGATGAGTTTGAGCCATTTCATCTTCTACTAAGAGACAAGCAATTGATGGCCATCTTAATTCACCAATTCAAGGCATTCAAGGTTGATGTTATCACCCATTGAAGGCCATTCATGTTCAATTAAGGGGACATGTAATAATCAACATTCAAAACTTAGCCTTCTAGGCTTCTATCATCTTTTGAAGGTTGATCATATTCTACAAAGGAACAAGCAATGAAGGCTGATTTTATTTCATTTAACCACCAAATTAAGTGATAAAATCAGAAAGGATTTTGAAGAGACAAGCTGATTTGGACATGTACGATGTCCACATTCGTCCTATGACTTCATTTATCCTCTTTTCTTGCACTTGCAAGTAAAACAAGGTAGCCCAAGAGTTACCCCTCCTTTTTGGACGAATTTAAGGCTAGAATTATCTTAAATTAAAGCTTAATTTATCCATTTTCAATCTACAGGGCCATTCATCAAAGGATAAGAAGAATGACAAATCATTAATTGAATTCAATTGCATTTAGGTGATTGTTTTATTTTAATTGTAAAAACTCTTCATATGGTGCCTATCGACACTATAAATAGGCACATCCATGGCATTTATAATTAGAACTTTTTGCAAAATAAACTCTTTGAAAGGTTTCTTTTATCTTAATTCTTGGATTAGAACTCTATCGTTTTCTTGTCAGTCTTGAAGCTTTCCTCCATTTCATTTTATTATAACGTTGGTTCCTAGATCACCTATAGCTAGCGGGTCACGTTCCATCATTTTCCGCCTCGATTCCATCATATTATATTGTTGGTTATTAGCTATATATAGCTAACGGATCATAATTCATTTTCTTTTCAATTCATCTTACACATTCCACGCCATTACCAATCCATACCTTTGCCATACTTCCATTCCATCCAAACTACAACTTCCATCATCTTCTGTTCAAAGAAAGCAATTCAATCTCTTACTAGAATCACGATCGGGCAACAATGTATATGGTTCGAAACACATAATCGAGATCATATCACTTGGGGTGATGCCTGTATTGATTTTAGGGTTGATTAAACTTTGGATACCCGAAACTCAAACGTTTAATTTTTTTAGTTGTGAAGCAATGATTGCTTTGGAAGATGTGACTTACCAATTTTGTATTTCGACAAATGGTGCAACATTGGTGAGATGTAACAATTACAATCGAGACTCAATTTACGAGCAATTGTTGGGAAAGATGCCACTAAAAGATGTCACTGAAGGGTTACGAATATGGATGACATAGTTGGAGAGTGAATTTAAAGTTGATGACTATTTTACCGAGCAAGAGGTCATCTTTACTGCCCGATAATATCTTATCTAATTGATTGGAGGGATATTGTTACATGATTAATTTGACAATTTTGTGCACACTCAATATCTTGCATTTATGAAAAATTTTAGCGAGTGTCGTAAATATAGTTAGAGTTTTGTGATTTTAGCTTTTTTGTACTGTGAACTTTGCAAGATTACAATCGTGATGACAGGGTGTCAAAAAACAAATGTAGTGGGTTGTTTAGTCCCATTATAATTGTAAGTGTAGTACCGATTTTCGTTTTTTATTCCAATTATATTAGCTCGAGTTGAGTTTCCTCTTGTTGCAAGGTAATTTTTTATTTTTTATTTTAGTAAATTTATATTAATAATTAATATGTTCAGAAATTTTGAATTAATAATAGAGTTGTTAATTTTTATTTTTTTTATGTTGTCTTATCTCATAACCCAATTCCCAACACAATTTTACTATAGCATTCCTATACATTACCTTTTTGTTACAACATTTCTCACTCTTTTTATTTTGTTGTAGCATTCATCTCACCTTGTTCATACCATTTATATACATTATTTATTTAAAGATTTAGTGTGCATATTCTTTACTTAATTTCCCTCCAATTCATGTGGAGTTGATCTCACTCATCACTTTATTACTTAGCAACACATATACTTACATAGTTTGTGAATCATTTACACATGCAATAAGTTTTTGGCGCCGTTGTCGGGGATTGGCAATTGATGATTTTAGGTTTAGTTATTGCACTTTTATTTCTTCTTTTTGTGTTTATTTATTTGTTATTTTTATTAATCTTTTCACATGTTGTGCTATTTCATGACCCGAAGAAGACTTGAAGAATCATTACTACCTTTTGAATATGAGATTAAAAGACTATTTTGTGAAAGAAGATGCTCTTAAGGAACCATGTATGGAGTTCAAAATCAAGTGGAGGATCCAAGAGTTCTAAATACTGCAACAATCCACAATAAAGGAGTTGTATCTCGTCCACGTACTATTAGATACCACTTAGCTCGCATGTTGGATGATCTCAACCCTGCTATTATAGTTCCCGAGATTTAGGTAGCCCACTTCAAGCTTAAATCAGTGATGTTCAACATGTTGAACTCTATTTGACAATTTGGTGGTGTGGCTTATGAGGATGCAAGATAATATATTCATGCATTTTTGGATGTTTGTGATTCCTTTCGACAGCAAGGTGTACATGAGGATGTGTTGAAATTGAAGTTATTTCCATACTATTTGAGAGATCGAGCAAGGGAATGGCTTAGTGGAGTACCCTCTAGCTCGATGGAATCATGGACAGACCTATGCAAAAGCTTTTTGTTGTGGTATAATCTACCCAATATTAACAACCATCTTAGGAATGCCATTCTTCCTTTCTTCAAGCTGATGACGAGTATATGTATGAGAGTTGGGATGTATACAAGGGACTCATATGCAAGTGCACAAACCATGGATTCCAAGATTAGACGCAAGTTGTTATGTTTACAATGGTGTAATTCTCTAATGAGGATGGTGCTGGATGCTTTAGCAAATGGAACTTTGTTGGAAAAGTCACCTAAAGAAACATTTGATATCCTTGATAGGATAGTAAATAAAGACTACTAATTTCCTTATT